GATGTCCGGTGGAGGGGGGGGGATGAAAATATGAAAACAACAAAAACGTCAGAGACTTACTTTTGCCAGTAGGAATGTTACATCAGTTCATAAACCTGAATGGATAATAAGACAATAAAACAGCATGTTATAGCTGTCAGACTAGGGGTAGAACAGTTGTGGCAACATATGGTTTGGGACGAGCATCTTATCTGGGTGTAAAAAGGTGACTTATCATGTGCATAAATTAAGCAGTAACATTGTTTTCAGACCCACCCTCCATGATAAATATACTGTATATACTGTAATTTCATCAGACTAAGAAAAACTCTGGGCTAAATCTGCTTCATAATCCCTGCTAGAGTAGATCCAGTGGCCAAAGTCTAGTTGCTTTGTGTAGTAAATCACCCTAGAGTGGCCCCATGGAACAAATGGGGGATTTTGTGAGGAATTGCATACATTAACTTATAAACAGAGATGCAAAAAAAATGTGTGTTTTAAAAAAAAATAAACATCACACAATAAGGGGGCAGTGGGCAAGTGACCCACATTTCTGCTGTTGAGTCTGCTATCCAGTGTGCGATATTCATAATAGGTAGTGCTGCATATAAATGTCGGCTGATCTTTTTCCTTGTGGTTCTTTGCCTTCAGATCAGATTTGAACAAGCCAGGCCATCACACAGAAGTGGAGTGGTCCTATGTCCTCATTTAGGACAAAACTCTCTTCTTTTTGATGGCACATGTCCTCCATTTTAGTAATGGAGGACATGCATCACCACCAGGGCATCCCTTTGGTCACCCTACCCCCCCCCCAAAAAAGAGTTTCTCTGGCCAAGTAGGGAAAACAGAGGCCTTGGCTGACAAACACATCTATCCAGCCTTCTCTTGTTAAGTAAAATGGTTTGAAGGGGTCATTTAGTCAGAAAACACGCAGCCACAAATACAGCTAGTAATGCATGGCAGGGTGGAGACAGCATGGCAAATCAATTCTGCGTGGACTTTCTCGTGAGGTCTGTTCCAGGAGTGAATGTTCTGAAGGCACTGTTCAGACCATTTCTTGAAAATAACAGATTGTAATCTAGCAAGATATTTCAGTTAGATGAAGAAAATAAAATGCACAGGTCATTTCAGAGAGTTATTAAGCATGATGGCTTGTCTGTCTGTCTGTCTGTCTGTCTGTCTGTCTATCTATCTATCTATCTATCTATCTATCTATCTATCTATCTATCTATCTATCTATCTATCTATCTATCTATCTAGTTCACAGTAGGATCATGGTATCCATGGAGATAAGTTCCAAGCCTCCCCATGTTGAAAACCACAGATGTGCAAGCCCAATATACGGCATAATCTCTGGTTCCCACTAGTGGCCAGTTCTGGCAATACACCATGGAAATGTGCATTTCTGTATTTCTTAAATATTTTCAGGCAGTGGAGAACTGAAACTGCATGTACTAATCCCGCAGATACGGATGTGTCGTATTGTATATTCCATTTTTATCTCAATGCTGTGTTCCCAGGTGGTCACGTTGTCATAGTCTTGTACAATATTATGTGCAGTCGTGTATTTACACTCAAATTATAGTAAAAGTGTCTAATTGTGATGATATTTGCATATATTAGTTTAAATTAGCATTGCCACATTTCATGAAAAAATGCCATCCTATTTTAAGAAGACCATCCTCCTTTTTGGTGTTTCTTATCTTCCTTGTCTTGCTTTTTGGTGATGCCTAGTCTCCTTATTTGCCAATGGAACAGTGACCACCCTAAATGGTAGCCATCTTCAAAAGGAGGATTGCCCTTTACCAGGTGGTATAGCAAGCCAGTATGCTTTCCTCAAGGGGTTTCTCCATGCCAGGAGGGCTGCCCTGCTTACATTGGTCCCAAGAGTGAAGCTTCAGGTGGTAGGAAGGAGGCAGAAGCTAGGAAGCTGCAACTGAGGGGTGGCGTAGGGTGGACAGAATCCAAGGATGTTGGCAAGTCTTTGGGTCTGAGTCCTAAGTCTGAGACCAAGTGTTTAATACCAAGTCCCAAGTCTGAGTCCCTGTTAAAACAAACTCCCCCCCCCCGAAAAAATGGGCCTACTTTAGTTAGACTAACTAATGGATTTCAGCCAATGTGTTACTCCCACTGGGAGAGACAAAAAAAAAAGGTTTTCTCTACTAAGTTGGTGTGCTCAGGCATATATGCACAGGAGAGGTGCTCCTTTAAGTCTTGAGTAATAGATCATTTAGGGCTTCAAAAGTCACCATCAGGCATGCATGCGTCTGTGTGTGCAGGGGGGTAGGAGATTTGTCTCCATGGCCCAGTCCTGGCAAGGCCACAAAACCCCTGGCCCACAGGACTGGTCTGTGGACCAGGGGTTGGGGGCCCCTAGAGACTGTGCCAGACCACTGACTGGAAATTGGGCCCAGCTGAGAACTCGTAGCAGCGGAGAGCTAGTGGTGTTAACTCAGCCCCCTTGCATACTGACAGGATGGGGAAAAATTGTACTCCATTCTCCTACCCTAGTAACAACCAGTTTGAGCAGTGATGACAGTCTTGAATTCATGAAATCTGGGTAGGTGGGGCTCATCAGCCTTGGGAGGCAGCCCATCTAGGAGAAGGAAAACTCTGATTTCGAACCTCCACTGCCTTGTGGCTATATCCATTGATGGAAAAGGCTTCAGGAGTTAACCTAGAGGCAAAATCCAGAGCTGGAGTCCCGAATGCAGTTCGTGTCGTTCTGCGATGTTACTGGAACCAGTTGTATTGGCTCTTGCCTTTCCATTGGACCATTTCAGCAACGTGGAGAGGAGGGATTTGCTGCTTGGGTATCCTCCATATTACTTTACCCAGGCTTCATGCTCTGGAGAAGACACTCCTCGATTCAGAGCATGTTATCGTAGTCTCTCGAGACTGAAGGATGTCTATGTATGGTCAAAGAGGCTTTCCCCACCACTCCAAACAGGGGTGATAATGGCATTGGTGAGTTACAGTGCCTACTGCTGGTAGCAGAATGTCAGCCATGTGGCTGTTTACACTCTGCTACTGCATTTTGCTTGCATCTCATCCTCTTTCTGTTCCCCTCTCCCAACACAGAAGTGGAGTTTTTTTTGTTTTTTAGGATGACAGTTCCCAGAATTCTCCAGGTTGTTGTGCTGCTTGGCGAATTCTTGGAGTTCTGGTTCCAGAAAACCCAAATCTGCTCAACATCATAGCTGCATGACTGGTTTCAAGGCACCTCCATGTTGGGGAAAAACTGAGCCTATTGCGATGCTGCCTTTCATAAGAGCTGTTATGAGCATCTGAGGGTATGATCACATAGCTTGTATTTTGGACCCGTGTGTCACAGTGTGGTGCCATCTCTTTTCCAGTGGTTACATGACATACAGGGAATAGCACTTTAGCCCAATGCCAATCTATGCCCAAGCTGGACATTTTTGACCCAGCAGTAGGACTACTACTTTTAGGGCTGGTAGCTTTAAGGAAGCAAATCTTTGCAGTGCAACGAGACAAGCACCTTTCTTACTGTCTGATCACACTCAAGTCCTTCAGTAAGCTCAGAATGAAACATGCCTTTTGTACAACACTGAAGGATTTACATTTGCTTAACTGGCACCACTTTTCCTAAGGAATCCTGGGAACTGTTGTTTAATTTGGATGAGAGGCAGGGAGAGGGCACCAGGATTTCATGGGCATGAAAGTTTTATTATTAACCCGCACAAGGGTCCTAGCAAAAATTAATTACATAGAATGGAGCAGCACATCTGCAATATAAGCTTCCTGAACACAGGAAAACCAAAAGTTCATAGTTACATTTACTAATGACTAGTCACTTTCTTTCTCCAAGACTAACTTCATAAAAATCCTTGAGACCATGAAAGGCAGGGACCATCATGTGTGTTCCCTTGTTTCCTTGGGTTAAGTGCAGTCCAGTTTTTTTCTTGGCTGATCAACAAAACCATAAGGTATTACAGGGGCTGCAATACTCAGCCACCGAACAGACCTAGGCAAGAGCTGATTGTCTCAAGAACTGTGTCCCTTTGCTCCCCGGTGAGTGCCAGGAAATTTCTGTGGGATATTGCTCCTGCTTTTCATTTTATCTGAGTTTTTTCTTAAATGTTCCCTATAAGTTAAGGACCGACCAATCAAGTCTCACCCCTAAAGACTTTGAGTGACAGTTGGACTTTTAGCAGTTGATTCCTAAATTCCACTTTCAGTATATACAAGTCGGCTTGTCTTTAGCTCAGGTGAGAGCAAGCAAACTCGTTTTTGTTGATGTTGGGTTTTAGCCTCCGAATTTCAAAAAACAAAAAACAAAAACAAAAAAACAACAAACAAAAAAACCAAAACAAAACCACAACCATCCATTTCCTTTAAAGCATTGTCAAGGGCTTTTTCAGAGGTGTCGAAGTCTTCAGATTGTTTGATCAATGCGATATTGTCAGCAAATGTAAACTTTTTTGCAGCAGTGCTTAAGTCAGATGTATACATATTAAAGAGTAGTGGGGTCAGCAGAGAACTTTGTGGCGGCTCATCATTTAACCTATACTTCTGCCTGGCTTGACCACTTAGGTGTACTTCGATGTACAGTATTTAAAATACAATGAAAAGAGTACATAAAAGAGTAAGGACAGCGAGTGGTCCCCAACCTTGGGCCTCCAGATGTTCTTGGACTTCAGCTCCCAGAAATCCTGACCAGCAGAGGTGGTGGTGAAGGCTTCTGGGAGTTGTAGTCCAAGAACATCTGGAGTCCCAAGGTTGGGGACCAATAAATTCTCTTCTTCTGGCTTATAAATCAGCCGCTGAACTAAGAACGCAGCCAGGCAAGATCCCCCTTGGCTTCTGATAATTTCCTCTCCCTGACCGAATCCAAAACCCCCACAGCTTTATGAGCACCAACTATCATCCCACACGGTTTATATAAAGTTTTTTGCCCGCTCGTATTTTCGGATTGGTTCTGCCGAGGCGACCATCGCTTCGAGGGCGGAACCAAGTCGAAGCGGGTCCTTTGTTTCCAGGGGGACGAAGAGCAGCGGGGGTCCAGGAAGCGGGCGGACCAGTGGCATTTGGGGACGGCCATCTCCGAAGAGGAAGGGGAGGGGAGCCCAGCGGCCTGAGGCGGGAAGTCAAAGAGGAACGGGGAAAGCGAGACCTTTTGGCTTCTCTGCCCGTCGCCTCGGCGCTGTAGGAAGGCGGAGAGGAGGACGGGACGGGCCTCGGCTGCCGTGGCGGAAGGCGGTGGAGACTGAAGCCGAGAAAAGGCGCAGCTTAGAGACTCCACCTGCCAGGTGAGGAGAAGGAGGTGGGTGCATTGACTCCTTTCCACCACCCCCCCCAGTGCTTCGCATCCCAGGCTGCCCCTTCGCTTGATGGCCACAACAACCCTGCCAAGTAGGCCAGGCGAGGTTCGGCGTCACAGGTGGGGAATCTTTCCTCCTCCAGGTATTTGGGGCATCAGCCCTCAGGAGCCCAAGCCAGGCTGGCTGGTGGTAAGAGATAGTGGGTGTCCAAACGTCTTAAAAGTTCCAAGAGTCCCTAATCTTTGTATAGACCCGTGGTTGTATTCAGGGACTGTAGAGAATATATTCTGTTAATGCAGCCTGAAATAGCATTTGCCTTTTTTTTTTTGTAGCCACATCACATGGTTGGCTCATATTCAGCTTGTGATCTACACAACAATTCCAAGATCCTTCTTGCTCTTCATATTGCTGAGCCCAGGTATCCCCTGTCTTGTAACTGCTTTTGGTTTGTTTGTTTTTTCATCAGGTGCAGGAAAAATTTCATTCTGTTGTTTTTCAACCGGGTGCTTAAGCAGGTGGAAAGCATGAGAATGAGCTGTAAGTTGTTCAAAAGGAGGAAGCTAACATTGGGGAAGGATGTGTAAATGTTGAGAATTAAATTAGGGATGGTATGCAATTCATTCAAATAGGAATTACCGGGATTTTTTTTTAAATAATAAAAGAAGTAGAAGGGCCTAATCCAAACCTTTCCCCCTGGTCTCCCCTCTTTCTCATTGCATATCTACAATTTTCATTGGAAGAAAAGCTTCTCTCCATGTGAACCAAAGCTCCATTCCCTGATGGAAATAGCATGTGTGGGGCCTTGATTACAACCACCATAAGGAGCTGAGAGTGAAAAGCTGCCCTGTATTTCATCAGCACCCTTGTGCAGATCGGATCCTCTCCTAATAGCATGTTGTTGTTTTTAAAAAAGTTACTCATGCAATTCCTATTTGTGTGAATGAAATTTCATTTAGTTAGACCCTTAAAGTGAGGGTTCAGAAGGTGACAGAACAAAGAACATTTGTTGTTTAGTCTTTAAGTTGTGTCTAACTCTTCATGACCCCATGGTTCACGAAGAGTCAGACCACGATGGTCCAAGGTAGGCTTCAGCAATATGTTCTCAGTCCACATACTGCTGAAGCCTACCTTGTACGATTTTGAGCATACCCTTGCGAGCACATGAAATGAGTGCAGTTGTACAGTAGTTGGAGCATTCTTTGGCACTGCCCTTCTTTGGGATTGGGATGTA